AAATATTTAAAATAGTTTTTAAAAAAAGAAAAGGATTAACGACCCTTAAATAAACCTTTAACACCGAAGGTATATTAATAATTATAAATAAAAAACCGATTATTATAGAATTTAAAAGCTTAAGAACTATATTATAAAATATATAAATAGTTAATAATTTAAAAATAATATTTAATAATAACGACGGAGCTAAGTATTTAGATTTAATATTATAAAAAAGGCTGAGTAGACCGGAGGCGTAGTTATTAATATTATTTTAAAAGATTATATTAAAAAAAAATAAAAAAGGATAATAAAAGTATATAAGCCGTTTATATATAAAAACGTACGGATTTAAAAAACAATAATAAACTTTATAACTATATATAATTTTGTTAAATAATTAAAAAGTATAGAGAACGGATTTTTAAATAGTATAAACTAAGATTTTTTATAAATTTACTTTTTTAATTAAAAAGTATAATATTACGATTATAATTTTACGTATCGTATATTTTACGAAGTATTATAAGCCGTAATATAGAGTAATTAAATTAAACGTAATATAATTATTAATTAAAAAGTAATATATATTAATAATTTCTTAAAAGTTTTAAAAAGTTAGAGGGAATTTTTTAAGTTTTTAAACTATTTAAAAAAGCTTTTTATTAAAGTAGTTTATAAAAATTAAAAAAAATAAAAAAAATAAAATTTTAAACGATTGTTAACTATTTAAAAGCGCGTATAAAACTATTTTTATTAAAGTAAGTATTTATATATAAGCTCAATTAATATAATAGATTTAAATATTATAAGGCGCGGATTTATATTTATAACGATTTATAATTAGTCATAATTTATAATATATATATAAGTAGTAACGCTTATAACTGAAACTTTTAAATTAATAATAGTTTTAATAACGTAGTTCGATTTAGAATTATTTTAATACGATATTATAAACGCTTTCTTAAATACGGAAGTTAATAAATATAATAAATTAGTTATTTATAAGTTTTTAAATAGATTTAAAATCGATAGGAAATATATTTAACTTAAAAAAGCTTTATATAAACTTCGTAACGCGCTTTATTTATAATATAAAACGTTTTTAAATATATTCAAAAGCCTAGGCCTATTTTTAATAATTAAAAATCTTTATATATATTAAAATCCGAATTATAAAATTATTATTATTTTTTATATAGATAATATTTTTATATTCTTTTATAAAAATTATAAATAATATACGGCTATTATTATTAATATTATAAAAATAATATATAAATTATAAAATAAAAGATTTATAAAAAATTGCTTAAGAATTCGGATTATGTAAAATAAAAAAAATAAAAAAATTTATTTTATATATAATATTTATATAAAAAATATAATTAAAAGTTCGATTTTATAAATAATATTTATTTAGCTATATTATCATTTATAAACGATTTAAAAGTATATAAAAATTAATTTATATTTATATAAACGAAAATATATTAAAAAGAAAAATAGGATCGGTTTTTTAAATTTTAATATTAATATATCTAGATTATATATAAAAGATTTTAATATTATTTAAATATTTGAAGAATTTAAATCCTAAGTACCTTTAAATAATAAATTAAGTTATTAAATATTTATATAAAATACGCTACTTAACGATTTATTACGGCGTATAAAGAAATAAAATAAGTTAAGAACTTATTTATAATTTATTTTTATTTATAATTAATAATACCTTATTTATAAACGATAAAACTATAAAAAAGTCGTTATAAAAGTATATTATAATACTTTTTAATAACTTAATTTAATAAAAAGCGTTTAAATAATTAATAATAACGACTTTTATAATTAAAATAAAACTCTTTTATTTATAAAAAATTATTAAAAAGATAATAACGTTATAAAGACTTTTTTATAATTTTATATTTAATTTAAAAGCCTTTTATAAAGTTTATTATAATAATAAATAATTAATTAATTTAATAATAATAGATATAAAAAAGGTTTTTATACGCTTATATTATATAAATATTTAAAATATATAACCTTATTAAAAATACGTTATTAATTATTTAAAAATTAAATATATAATTATAAAAAATATATTAATAAACGGTTTTATAAAAAACCTAATTAAAAAAAGTTTTTAAATTTTAAAACTTATTTAAATTTAATAAATATATAGAAAATAATTATAAAAGAAATATAAATATAAAAAATTAATAATTTAATTATAAACTAAATTTTAAAAAGCGTTTATTAAAAAGTAATTTATTTTATAAAGTTATATTAAATAAAAATTAATTATTTTATAAAATTATATTAAAAATAAAAATAATAAAAACGAAAATAATAGCTTTAAAAGGTATATTTAATTATTATTATTAATAATAATATAAATAAAAAATCTTTTTTTTAATAACATTAAAAATATAACGGCCTTTAATAATAAAATTAATAAAATATATAAAAACGTTATTATTATTATTTTATTAAAAAGAATCGTTTATAATAATAAGCTTAGTTTTTTTTTAACTTTTTTAAAAATAAAAAAGGATTTAAAACCTTCGGTTTTATAAATAATAAAATAAATATAAATAAAAGTCTAATATTATTAATTAAAAACTTATAAAACGTATTTTTAAAGATTTATATAAGAGTTAATAAGGGGATTATTAATTAAAAAGCTTGTTAAACGAACCATAAAAAGGCGGATATTAAATAAAATAATAATATAAATATAACCGTTTTAAAAATATTTAGCGTATTTATTTTTAATATTAAAGGCCTTTTTTTAAATAATAAAACGTATATAATATATTCCGATACCTTTATTAAACTTTATTAGAATAAAATAAAAAATATAAAAAACAAAATTTAAAATATTAAATTCCTTTTTTATATTTTTTTATTATAATAAATCTTTTTTTAATTTTATTTTTAAATATAATTATAAAAAAAGCTATATTATTTTTAAATTTAGTTAAAAACTTAGCTATTTTAATAAAAATAATATAAATATTAATATTTCTTTTTATAGACTATTTAAATATATTAAAAATAACGTTTTAAAAAGTTTAAAAAAAAGAAAATTTATAAACTTTAATAATAGTTTTTTTAAAAGCGTTATTAATAACGGTTTTACGGCTTATTTTTTAACTTATTATTTAAATTCTTAATATAAAAGCTTTTTTTAAAAAAAAATTAATAAAATAAAGATTATTAAAATTTTATAACTTTTTTTTTTATTTCTTTTTTTAAAATCCTTAAGGCTTTTATTAATAAGCTTATTAACTTTTTTTTTAATAGCGGCCTTTTTAATAACGGTAGTATTAATAATATATTTAATAGCGGTAGTAGCGTAAATAACGGCTTTCTTAGCTTTGATAATATAGGCGGTTTAGGCGCGCTCGGCGGCGGCTTATTTAATAAAGGTAGTATTAACTATTATATATATATATAACGTATATATATAGCGAGTCGCCTATTATAGCGAGTCGCCCACTTTCCTTTCCTTTTATACCTTTTATTTTAATAGCTATTTTTCTTTACGTACGATTATAAATTCTTTTTTAAATGAAAGTCGTATTATCCTTATATTTTAAACTATTAAAAAAGACTTAAATTTATCCGTACGAAAAGCAACTTTTATTTATAATATTTTAAAAATAATACTTTGCGACCGACGTATTAACTTATTATTTCGATATAAAATTCGTACGAATTTAAAAAAGATAACTTTTTTAAAAGAAACCGTAATTCTTAAATAAGTTATTAACCTAATTAATTAAAGATTTCTACCGTAATTTAACGATATATAAAATATAGCCGATTACTTTTTTATTAAACGCAACGTAATATATATTAAACTGCGATAAGTAAAGAATTTTATACGACGTTAATTATAACTAAAAATACGTTTTTAATATAAAATTAATTATTAAAAAGTATTAATTAAGGATCTTATAATTATCTAGGCTTAGTTTATTTTTATATAAAATATAATTATAAAATATAGAATATACGATTATAATATTTATAATTTTAATAAAACGGGCTTTTTAATAAAAATACTTTCGTATATAAAAGTTATTATAATTTCTAATCGTTATAGAAGGCCTTATATAAAATAGCTTAATAATTAAGAATAGGTTTTTATTATTTAAAGTATATATATGGATAGCTAAGCGCTGCTTTTATACGTTATTATAAAGGGTAAATATTACTTTTTTTTATAATATATTAACAACTAATTCCCTCCTAAATAGCGTATCTACCTTAGCGAAAATAGATAAATTATAAATAAGATCGGTTTAAATTAGTTAGAGTATTTTAAAAAATATATAAAGTCTTATACGAAAGGTATTAAACGGCTCCTAATCTTTAATAACTATAATAGCTATAAATCGATTAAATTCGATAATTATTATAAAAAGCGTAGTATTATCGCTCTTTATATACCTCCTTATTTATTATACGAGCTTTAGCTTTTTAATATTAATTATTTTAGTTTATTAAAAGCTTCGTATAATAAAAAAATCAAGAAAATAATACGAATATAAATTACGTATATTACTAAGGACGACTTTTTTCTTATTTTTAAAATAGCCTTTTTTACTTTAATAAGTAAAAAAAACGTATAAATTAGTTTTAAATAGGTTAAAATTATATTTTTTTAATTTAAAAGTAGTTATTTCCTGCCTAAATTTTAAGCTAAAAACGCTAATACTATTTAACTTATGCCTAAGTAGCTAAGGCTCCTAAGACTTAAAAATACTAATTATAATATATAACGTCGTACGAAGCTTTATTTTATTTAAGAAACGGATTTATAATTATTAATATAACTTATTAATATATTTATACGAAGTTATTAATTTATAAACTAAAAGTATTAGTAAATTAATATATAAACTAACTTTTATTAAAGCTAAGTGCCGCGGGCTTCGTATAGTAAATAAGATATTAAATAAGCGCTAGAGGGCTAAAAAACATAATTACGTCTTAAAGGCTTATTTAATGCTGCTAAGGCTGAGGTAATCTAAGTAAAAAAGGGGGTTATTAATATTAAAGGCGAAAATATATGTTAAGAGGATATTCGTATAGAAGGGGTTAAATCGTGCGGGCGGTAATATAATAACTGCGGAAAGACTAGATATAATATATAAATATATTAAGTAGTTTAGGAGACTTTTAAAGAAGAGGCTAATAAGTAGTTTTAATTAATTTCGTACGATATAGCTTAATTAATTTACATAAATAGCAGGAGGGTATTTAGAAGTGGGCGACTCGCTATGATAGGCGACTCGCTATGCATGTACGTTATATATATATATATATATAACGTACTTTACTAGTCAGCCGCGCATATTAATTAACCGTACACTTTTTCCACAACGCGCTCTATTCCTAACTACTTAAACTCTTAACGTATAATAACTTAATAATTATAATACTAATCTATACTTAAAAAAATGAAAATATTTTTATTATTAAAGCGATCCGAGTTATACGCGCTATAAATTAAAAATTTAATATATAATGCGTTATAAAAATATATAATATCCTCAAAAGTACCTTATATAATAAAATAAATAATTAATTATGCTATGACCGAATTTAGTTTTAATAATATAAACTCGATCCGATTAAAAAGAAAATACTTCTTTAATACGTTATTAAATAAGATTTTAAAAGATTTCTTTTATAACTTCTTAATATAAAAAATATATCGCAAGAGGTCCAGCGCACAGCCACGTATAGCTAAGGTAATACCCGCTTAAATACGCTTACTAACCTACTTCTTAAGCGCCCTTAAATAGTATATTTATTTAATTAGTTTATAAAATATTTTTAAATAAAGATAAATATTTTAAATTATAAGAATTATATTTTTATATTCTTAGCTTATAATAATTATAAACTTAGCTTTTACGGACCTTTTGTTTAAAATATAAAAACGGATAAATATTTTTATTATTATAAAACCTATAAAAATGTAAAATACTTATTAATAATATTGATAATCGCTTAACTTTTTATATTTAATAATAATTAACGTTTTAATATAAGAACGGATTAGCTAATTTAATATATTAGCTTTTAGGTATATATAAAAAACGGATTTATTTAAAATCTTATCGATCTAAATATAAAAGACGTTAATAACGACGATATATAATTATGAAAAAAACTAAACTTTATTAAATTAATTACTAAACGTATTATTAAAGTAAAAAACAACTATTATAAATAATTAATTATTTAAAAAAACGGTAATAATAAAAGCAAAATCTAAACGCTTAATAATAATAAAATTAATTAAATCTAAGTTTTTTTAATTAATAAGCTTATAAAATTATATCTTATTAAGTTCGATAATATCAAAAACGAATATAAACGATTTATTAAAAACTATATTAATCGAAATCAAATATAAATAATAATTATAATAAATTACTAAACAATCGAATCCTTTATTTTCTAAATAATTAATTTATAAAAGCTTACGAATGTTTAAATAAAACTCTTATATAAAAACAAAATTAATTTTTAAAAGCTTATATATATATTAAAACATAATTTAATATTTTTTAAATTAATAACTCTTTTAATAATCCGTAAAGAGTATAATAATATACTTTTTAAAGCTTTTTAAAATAACATCTCTTTAACTATTTAATATTCCGATTAATATAAAGTATATAAGCGATTTTAAGCTTATAATATACCCGAGGTCTAAGGGGTTTTAATAATAAAAAGTTTTCTTAAAGCTATTAAAACCCGCCTTATATTAACCTAAGTAATTTAAGTATTTAATAAAATTATTATAAATAAAAGTCTTAAATACCTTATTTTAATTTTAAAAGAATATAAACGGATTTTTAGAATTTTTTATTAAAAAAACTAGCTTTTAAAAAGTGGTAATAAGGGCCTTAACCTTTTTATTATTTTTAAAAAACGATCGAACAAGCTTAATAATTAAAAAACGATATTTAAGGCCTATTTATATAAAAAAGATTATGATTAATCCCTATAAAACTATAAAAAAGTTTAGAAAACTTTTATAAAAATATGAATTAAATATATAAAAAAGTTAATAAATAAAAAAGCGATTAAAATAAAAAACCGAGTTATTTTATTAATTTTTGACTATATTTAAACTAAGTATTAAGAAAAAAGGTAGTTAATTAATAATATTAAAAACGCGCGTTAAAAAAACCGAAAGGATAATAAAACTTATTTAAAAAACGTCGTAACGGTTATTATTTTTAATAATAATAAAAAATTATAAAAAAACGGTTTTATAAGCTTTTTAATATTCTTAATATTTTTAAAAAATGCTATGTTTTATTAAATAATATAGTTCATAATAGCTATAAAAGATATTATTTAATTAATAATAAGGCTTTATTAAAAAAAAGTTTTTATAAACCTTATTTAAAAAGCGAGTTTATAAAAGCGGGTATTATTTATATTTATATTATAAAAACTAAAATTAAGGTTTTTAAAAAAGCTTTTTATAATAAAAAACGCTTTAATATTAAGGATTTTATTTTAAAAAACGTCGTTATTATAGAAAGTTTTTATATTAATATTGTTTCTAAAGCGTATTTATTAAAAACTAAAATTTAATATTATAATTTTAATATAATTTTACGTTTTAAAAATATAAATAAGAATATAATAATAGTTTAATTATTTGAAAAAAATAAATTTTTTTTAATATAAGCTTATAATTTATTATACTATAGCCCGCTTTTTAATACTAATAAGCTCTTTATATTTTATAATAACGATTTAATTTAATACTTTATTATATTATAAATTTAATTTTAATACGGCTTATGTAAATAAAATAAATAATATAATAATTTAATATTTTTAAGTTAATTATTTAAAATTAAAAGCCTTTTAAAATCTAATCCATAACGCTTGGGAAATAAATATAAAAAAGCTATTAAAAATAAAATATAAATACTACGTTTTTATATACATAACATATATACATAGCGAGTCGCTTATCATAACGAGTCGCCCATTTCTAAATACCCTCTTACTATTTATATAAATTAATTAAATTATATCGTACGAAATTAATTAAAACTATTTATAAGCCTCTTTTTTAAAAGTCTCCTAAATTACTTAATATATTTATATATTATATTTAATTTTTTTATAATTATTATATTATTATTTATATAATTTAATATTTTTTATATAAATACCTTTTTAATATATATTTTCGTTTTTAATATTAATAACCCCTTTTTTTATTCGGATTACCTCGGCCTTAATAATATTAAATAAGCTTTTAAAACGTATTTATGTTTTTTTAGTTTTTTAGCGTTTATTTAGTATTTTATTTATTACATAAAGCCCGCGGTATTTAATTTTAATAAGAGTTAGTTTATATATTAATTTATTAATATTTTTAACTTATAAATTAATAACTTTATATAAATAACGTATATATATAACGAGTCGCCTATTATAGCGAGTCGCCTACTTTCCTTTCCTTTTATACTTTCTATTTTAATAACTATTTTTCTTTATATATAATTATAAATTCTTTTTTAAATAAAAGTCGTATTATTTTTATATTTTAAATTATTAAAAAAGACCTAAATTTATTTATATAAATAATAGCTTTTATTTATAATATCTTAAAAATAATACTTTACGACCGACATATAAGCTTATTATTTTAATATAAAATTTATATAAATTTAAAAAAAATAACTTTTTTAAAAAAAACCGTGATTTTTAAATAAGTTATTAACTTAATTAATCGAGAATTTTTATAATAATTTAATAATATATAAAATATAGCCGATTATTTTTTAATAAATATAATACGATATGTATTAAATTATAATAAATAAAGAATTTTATATAATATTAATTATAATTAAAGACGTGTTTTTAATATAAAATCGATTATTAAAAAGTATTAATTAAAGATTTTATAATTATCTAAATTTAATTTATTTTTATATAAAATACGATTATAAAATACGGAATATATAATTATAATATTTATAATTTTAATAAAACGGGCTTTTTAATAAAAATATTTTTATATATAAAAGTTATTATAATTTTTAATCGTTATAAAAGGCTTTATATAAAATAGTTTAATAATTAAAAATAAGTTTTTGTTATTTAAAGTATATATATAGATAGTTAAGTATTATTTTTGTATATTATTATAAAAAGTAAATATTATTTCTTTTTATAATATATTAATAATTAATTTTTTTTTAAATAATATATTTATTTTAATAAAAATAAATAAATTATAAAAAATATCGGCTTAGATTAGTTAAAGTATTTTAAAAAATATATAAAACTTTATATAAAAAGTATTAAATAGCTTTTAATTTTTAATAATTATAATAATTATAAATTGATTAAATTTAATAATTATTATAAAAAACGTAGTATTATCGCTTTTTATATACCTTTTTATTTATTATATAAACTTTAGCTTTTTAATATTAATTATTTTAACTTATTAAAAGCTTTATATAATAAAAAAATCGAGAAAATAATATAAATATAAATTATATATATTATTAAAAACGACTTCTATTTTATTTTTAAAATAGCTTTTTTTATTTTAATAAGTAAAAAAAATATATAAATTAGTTTTAAATAGGTTAAAATTATATTTTTTAATTTAAAAATAGTTATTTTTTATTTAGATTTTAAATTAAAACGTTAATATTATTTAATTTATGCTTAAATAATTAAGGCTCTTAGGATTTAAAAATATTAATTATAATATATAACGCTATATAAAGCTTTATTTTATTTAAAAAACGGATTTATAGTTACTAACATAGCTTATTAATATATTTATATAAAGTTATTAACTTATAAGCTAAAAGTATTAATAAGTTAATATATAAACTAGCTTTTATTAAAACTAAATACCACGGGCTTCGTATAATAAATAAAATATTAAATAAACGCCGGAGGGCTAAAAAAACATAACTGCGTTTTAAAAGCTTATTTAATATTATTAAGGCCGAGGTAATTTGAGTAAAGAAAGGGATTATTAATATTAAAAACGAAAATATATATTAAAAAGGTATTTATATAAAGGGGGTTAAATTATATAAACGGTAATATAATAACTATAAAAAAACTAAATATAATATACGAATATATTAAATAGTTTAGGAGA